CTCTGGATCCATAGTTAGTATAGGCCTTATGAATTTTTCGATTTTAGATATTCGGGTCGTTGTTATTTTAAAATAAGTTTGGGTATAATTAGAAAAATAATTCAGATGAACATATTCAAAATCACTACTCTAAATTTAGCTTATAAATTCTAACTCAAAAGGTTATTCGTCTAAAAAAACATTGAAACCTAAAAACTCAAAAAGTTTAAAACGTAAAAGACTAAAACATATATGAGGTTTGTTATCTTGAAAGTTTACTAGAGCAGCGGGTGGATATAGGGATGAAAACAAAATGCAAATTGATTAGTAGATTGATTTGTCTAGTGTTGATGCTGCTCGTTTCAACAGCTAATACGAAGAGAACCTTTTCAACAATGAAACATGTGAAAATTGGTTTGCGCAACAAAATGAGCGATGAATTTCTAGTCGATTGCTCAAGTATTTTATTTGAAACAGTGTATACTATTGGTATGGATGTGGACTCCATTATTAATGCATTCGCTAAATTAAAATACCGTCGTGTATAATTTACATTGTAAAAAAATTATAATCATGATATTTTTTTACTATTCTAATTTTCTAATAAAATGCGGCCCAGTGCACTTCTATGTTCTGGATCCGCCGCTGATTATATATGATACGTACTATAAACACTACCCAACTTCGTTTAATATAAATATCATAGAGCAACGTCCCCTCCATAAAAAAAAATTAAACATTCATGAGATATTAATGTCAACTAATCACTTTCAAATGTTGTGTGCCCAAACCACAAAAGGCTACATTAGAAAAATAATCCACTTAAATCGATTCATCTCAATAGATGAACAAGAACGGCTCTTTTATAATATATATATATATATATATATATATATATATATATATATATATATATAAAGCCATAATTATGAATGTAATGAATTCTAAAAAAGGAAAAGAGAACAAGTGGAGCAGTAGGAAGTAGGAACCCCATGAGCCTAACAGTTCCCCCGGAGACCAACTCTTGACCTGATTCCTTGACGAAGTTCGCACGCGCTTCCTCCGTCCACCACCGGAATGGATCAGGTCAGTAATCTTATGGTGAGTAACCATGAGTAACACGTTCACATCAGCATGACATCAGCATCCTCTCTCTCCTGGAAAGCCTTTAATTTTCCCCTCTTTAATCTTTGACGGACGATTGCTCACTCATTTTAAGTCGAAATTTAATTTTCTTTACATAGTTAGATCAGATTAATTGTGCTCTTCAAAATTATATCCACTTTAATATATTTTTCGAACAAAAAAAATTGATCCATTTTTTATGGTATAGACTGGTATTGAAATAAAAGCATACCTATGGTTTGAAAAACGTACCATGGTGGTATGAACAAACCAAGACTGTAGGATGGTTGAATACATGATAGTAGAAGTATATTAATTGTCATTTACGACTTTTAACATTGTATACCACACAATACCACCCAGTACCAAGGTGGTATTGTATGGTATTGTGTGGTATTTTTTGGTCCTGTAATTTGTTCACCCAGAAATTTGTAGATCCAATAGATCATGATGAACTCGTCCCTTCTGTGCAAACGTTTTCAAAAACGAATTAAAAACGAAGAAGATACCATACAATACCACCCCGTACTAGGGTGGTATTGTATGGTATTGTGTGGTATTTTTTGGTCCTGTAATTTGTTCACCCAGAAATTTGTAGATCCAATAGATCATGATGAACTCGTCCCTTCTGTGCAAAGTTTTTCAAAAACAAATTAAAAACGAAGAAGATACCATATGGTATGCAGTTGGTACCGAGAGGCCAGAATTTTTTTTTTCAAAAAATATTGAAAATTGATCTCATTTTGTATATCACGATGAACTCGTTCCATCTGTGCAAAAAAAATTAAAATCCGAGTTAAAACGAAATATATATTAGTCAATTAAGAAAGCTAGAAAAAATAAATATGGTCTTTAATTTTCCTTCCTTAAGGCCAAGTCCAATGCAAAACCCCAAATTTGAGGATTGTACCCCATTTTCCCTTCTTTTGCTCCAATGCAACAAACTCCATATTTGGGGTTCTTAATATTTCCAGTTTTTCCATTTACTTAAAAATGTACTTATCGTAGCCTTAATATAATTTTTTCATGTTAATTTTTGTATAGTTCTTCATCATTTTTTAATAAAAATACAAATTTTTCGATAGAATTTTGTTAAATTTCGAGTCCGAATTTTTTTGACAAAAAATTATGTACCTAATTTGGGTTTACACACAACACTTGAAAATGATTGATATAATTAAATCCCTAACTAATCCCCTAATTAAACTCTCAATTAACCTCCAAAATCTTAAAAAGAAAAAGAAAAGCCACGTGGCGGGCTTTGGTGAGCCTCCATATTTGGGGGATCCCCATTTCCACCTCCAAATTTGGAGTTCCATATGCAGGATCCTCCATTTTTGGAGGCCCAAACCTCCCCATTGGACCATCTCCTCCTTCATTTTTGCAGATTCCCCCATAAATGGGGTACCCATTGGACTCAGCCTAAGTCTGAATTTTCTAAATAAATGATTCAGATTTGGTTATTAATGGATGCATAACCCATGGTTATGCACTCTATCTTGAGCCGTCCACCACCACAACAAAACAAACAGTTATTAGACAGAAATGGAAAGAAAAAAGGTCAAGGGCATTGTCGTCCTTTGACCGTCCTAGCTCCATATATATGTATGATGAAAGAAAGAAAGAAAGAAAGAGCATATTTTCAACATTTTTTCAGGCCCAGCGAGCAATAATTGATAGGGTCGCAGCCTCGCAGGTCAATTGTTATGTGGGACGATAATAAATAAATAAATACATAATTCAGCGTCTGGCTGAAACGACCGAAGATTATTTTTTTCCCCCTGGGAAAAACCATAATAAAATAATGGGTAGGGGACCTTTTTACGTGAATGGATGTCAAGTGTCCACGTCTCCCTAGACGTTAAACCTCGTACAGCCCTCTCGCTGCCTGCCGACAACCTTTTCTCATTTCTTTTTTTTTTCTTCTTCTCCTTGTAGTTTAAGTTGTTTAACAATTAACGGGTACAATCGATTGCTTTATTTTATTTTTGTCCTGAAAAGACGGTGTCGTTTGGGCCTTCTTGCATATGACTTCCCGACGCCTGCTCCGCCGGCCGGACTATTTAATCCAGCATGCTCGACAAAATCGTTTGTCGATACTCTTATTACTCTGTACCAGCACACCGGCCGGCGTAGTCATCCTGAGCTCCGTGTGTATGTCCGCCTATTGGAGTCTGAGACGGCTGGTTATCGGAGAGGACAACGTCGGAGTTCGAGGATGAGAAAAAAGGTTGTGATCACAATATAATGGAATTTCTTGATGATGAGCGTGGAAGGATATCGATGTTGTAAGAGATTAAAATACTTGATAAACCATTTTCCAACCACTAGAGTTATTGATACCAAGAGATTAGTTTGCTCATGTGGTATATCCAACTTAATGAACTTATGCAAATTAAATCTTACTGGTTTAGCACTAAAAGGGTTCAACATGTGCAAACTATACGCAGTGGCGGATACATGGACATTTAGAGGTGTCATGGAACACCCCTAAAATTTGGAAGAACAATTATACAACCCTCGATTGTAGTTTCATATGGAAAAAAAATTATTATTAGTAATCCGGGACACCCTTAAAATTTGAAAAAAAAATATTATACTACTCTCGATAGTAGTTTGTGTAATATTAAAAAAATATAAATTATAGTTTTTGTTATTCAAACCTAGGACATTGCTATTATTAAACATATTCTTTAGGTTAGAACTCATTTCTTTTTCTATTTAAACACTATGAAATAGTAAAAACATTATTCCTTATCCCCACCTATTTTCAAAACCTAACAACTAAAATAATTTCGGGCTATCCTTAATTTGAATTGATTTTATAGTTACACGGCAAAGAGTTAAAAGAGTCTTTCAACTTTGAGTTACATAAAGAACAAGGTTAGAAATTGAATATGCGATCAGTTGGTGAATTATTGTCTAGTATGATATATAGATTTGTTGAGCAGTGAAGATGTCAAGTATATTTTATATTCTTTTTTACAATATGAAAACACGTCGTGACCTTTTGTTAAAATTTGTACTAGTCATGTATTTTCTTATCTATGAATTATTTAATTTAATTATGGCAGCCACCTTTGGTTATGGCAGTGATTCCTGTCCTCTGGCATATTTGGCAATCTCGTAACTGGGTAGCTTTTGAAGGGAATCAATTCGGGTTACTCGCCCTAATGTGCCAGTAATGTATAACCAACAGGTTCAGGAATGGGCTTGTCTGCCGGTGGACAGTGCCCCCTAAACCTTCAGCCTCTCAACCCCTCCTCCCAGCCTAGTCGAGTCGATAGTGGCTATTTGTATATGGGACGGGGCTATTAAGAGAGGATCTTACTCTGCTGGTGGGATGGTTATCCTGACCCCCACTAGAGAAATCTTTTTTGTCAGGGGGATTCAGTTCAATTGCATTGATGATCCGATGGTGGTGGAGTTACTTACCCTCCGTGGGGCTATTTCTGTCCTTAGGGTCTAGGCTTTACGGAGATGAGATTCAAGGGCGATGCCAAGGTAGTGATTGAGAAAATCTTGCGTGGCGATAGGGCTGCCAAACGGTTTTGCGATTACCGGTTTAACCGGTTACCAAAAAAACGGTGAGCGAATGAGAATTTTTGGCTGGCGGTATGTCGGCACCGGGCTTGCAGTTTACCGACGGGTTATCGGTAATCCGACACCGAATGGGAAAGGGATTTTTCAAGCGCGCGCGCGGATCGGCAGAACTTCTGTATTGCAGAAAACCAAACGTCGGCCACCCCACCCTAAAAAAGCCCAGCGCCCCAGCCCTAATTTCATCCCATGTCCCTGACGCCCTGACTGCTGCACGACCACGAACGAGTCCACGACCACGACCGCCGATCCCTCCTCTTCCGTTCACTTCATCGTCGTTGGGTCTTGGCTCCTTGATGTTTCCGTCGAAGCCAGTCGTCGAGTTCCTCCAGGCTCTGTTTCCGACAAATCCAGGCTCTATTTCCGGCAAGTTCCTCCCCTCGCCGCTCCGCTGTCCGTTGAACTCCGTGAGACCGTCTCCGGTCTCCGTCCATTGTAGAGGTAATCTTCTCCGGTCCGGCTGTGATCCCTTATTTTCGTCGCCATCGCTAGAGCCTAGAGGTAATCAACCATCCCTAGCCGTCTCCGTCTCCGTCCCTTCTCCGCTGTGCTATGATCCCTTACTTTCGTGAAATAATGAAATTCAAATTCTGTTGCCTACTTTGCATTTGTGTTAGAGACAAAAAATTATGGTTGATACCATTGGACATTGGTTGATCGTTTCGTGGAGAACGAGGATGAGGGGAAAGTTGTCGTCCTCGTCCATGACCATTAGCCTATGTAAATTAATAAATGGACAATTGGGAAAGCTGTCGACAGAGCTTGATGACACGGCATAAATTTAATTCAATTGTTTGATACTATAATTGTCATTTGTCAATACTCAATTGTCATTGAATAATTGATGAAGCAAAGCAAGTAATTTAATTCAATTGTTTGATTATTAACTAATAATTACTAATTAGTTTGCTTTAATTTTCATTTTTGCGGGTTTACATAGCAGAGCCGAGCACAGCCCTGATCCCAGCATAAGAACTTTTGTTGTTTTGTGCTAATTTATTTACTTGAGAAACCAAGTACAAAAATGTAAGATTTAAGATAGTTGTTTAATGGTTTAATTTTTTACATGTTGGCAATTTTATGGTTTTTAATTTTTTACATTTTTTCTTCTTGTTGTAGGACGAAATCTTCTCCTCGTCCTCGTAAAGGAGATGCTCCGAAAAAAGGTGGTTCCATTCCTCCTCGAACCACTTCCAAAAAAGTGGGTGCTCGTGTTGGAGCTGCAGAAGGGATTCAAGGGAATGTCCCTTCTAGACCTAGTACACCTACACATACCACTACCAGTGCCATTACATCTCCACCACCTGCAGCTGCCACGCCTACACAGGTGACTGATATGGGAAGGGGAGCAGATGAAGTGGGTGAGGCAAAGAAAATTGTGAAGGTGACAAAAAGGAAGAAGAAGTCCTCGTGGTGGACTCCTTATGATGAGGTTCTGGTGGATGACTACCCATATGGCAAATGCAAATAATGTGGAACGTTGATCAAAGCTCACTCGACCAATAACGGGACTTCTGGTTTGAAGCAACATCACTTGGCATGTGAGAGGAAGAGGAAGGAAGCCAGTGGTCAATCACTATTGAACTATCAACCTGGGGATGGTGAGTTAGGCTCTCTTACTCCATGGAAGTTTGATCAACAAAGAGCTAGAACTGCATTAGCTGTTATGATCATCTTGGATGAGCTGCCATTTCGCTTTGTTGAGCATGAAGGGTTTAAGAGATTTATGGCGGTAACCCAACCATTGTTTATGATACCTGGAAGACAGACAATAAGACAGGATTGCTATATAATATTTTTGGAGAAAAAAGAGTTGATATCTGAGTTCTTCAAATCCAAGTGCAAAGGAAAAATTTCTATCACCACAGATACATGGACTTCTGATAACAACCAGAATTTCATGTGTGTGACTGCTCATTTTATTGGGAGTGACTGGAAGCTGCAGAAGAGGATCATTAGCTTTGTTCCCATCATTAGTCACACAAGGAAGGACATTGTAGAAAAATTGGTAGAATGTCTACAAGATTGGAAAGCACAACAGTTGTTTTCCATTACCATGGAAATGCTTCTTCTAGTAATGTTCTTGCAGAGTGTATGAGAACAAAGATGAAAGAGTGGGGAACATATTTGATTGGTGGGAAGTATTTGCAATTTCGATGTGTGGCACATATAATCAATTTGGTTGTGACGGATGGGTAGAAGGAGGTTGGAGTTGCTGTAGAAAGGGTTCGAGATTGTGTTAAATGGGTGAAGTCATCACCAGGTAGAAGTGCAAAGTTCAAATCTGCCATTGATTATCTATCAATGGATGGAAGAAGACTTCTATCTTTGGATGTTCCAACTAGGTGGAACTCAACCTATTTGATGTTGGAATCTGCAGAAAGGTTTGAGACTGTATTTAACTTCTTGCATACAAGCCCCAATGATTCTGCATTTCGGGATTATGTGAATTCAAAGAGAGGTCTTCCAACTAAGGAAGATTGGAGCGGTATTCGACGGCTAATGAAGTATTTGAAGTTCTTTTATGAGCTCACCTTTCGGGTATCAGGTATGTGAACAAACATAACTCCACCTATTAAAATTCATGGTTTTTACTTTTATTAACTTGTAAATTGTAATTACTAATTACTAATTTGTGAATAATTTGTTGTTATTTTTGGATGTATTAGGAACATCTTATGTGACTGCTCATACTTTCTTCAAGGCTATTGCTGACATCTATGAAGTGATAGAACTTTTTAAGAAAGACATGGATGTAGAGATACAACGGATGGCAGCAAGAATGGAGGCAAAGGTACAAAAGTATTGGTTTGAGAATGAACTAAATGATGATGATGATGATGATGACGAGGTGGAGAACCTAAGAATAAATAGGCTGGTTTACATGACTTGTGTGCTAGATCCTAGGCGTAAAATGGCTTATTTGTATTGGATGTGGGGTAAGATGTATGGGCAGAAGAAAAGAGACGATTTGGTGAAAGATGTGACTGCAGAGATGACTGCAATGCTTGAGGTTTACAGATTTAAGTATGCACCTCAACCCTCAGAGCCTACTGTTACCACTCCTAGTGCTGATGATGGTACTGGATCTGCATCTTACGGAGGGACATTTGATGCTGAATTCTTCAAGATGAGAAAGGAGAAACTACAGCGGGGGATTCGAGGTTCTTCTGAGCTAGACATTTACTTAAGAGATGTTGATGATGCTATTAACGAGGATGATAATGATATGAAGTTTGACATCTTGCTGTAGTGGAGTAAGAACAGCGTTAGATATCCTATTCTTTCCCAGATGGTTAAGGATATCCTAGTTGTTCCAGTCTCCTCTGTTGCCTCAGATGCTGCTTTCAGTTGTGGAGGTCGAGTGCTCAGTCCGTTTAGGTCTTCGTTGAGCCCCACCATTGTAGAGGCCTTGATTTGTGCTGAAGATTGGATAAGGTATGAAGGAGGAAAGAAAGCAGACAAAGTTGATGGTACAGAAGATGAAAATCAAGACCAAATCGATTATGAAAGTGGTAAGAATTCTTAATATCATTTATTTTTAAGTTTTCCATTACTCAGTTTCTGATTACATATTATTAGATGAATTCTAAGTTCTAACAAATTGTATTTTTTTTTACACTTAGTCACTACTAACTTCCAAACTCGAATGGAGAGTGCTACTGCCAAGCCAAGTGAAGGTGTCAAACAAAGTTTACCTGTTGTGGTGGAGGAGGAAGATTCAGACGAGGATGAGGAGGACCAGGACGAGGAGGATAATGCTGATGATAACCTTCGCACCACTTTGAAGCAACAAGGTTTTGTTGATGTTGGTGGTACAGGTCCTAGTGGCAAGTGAGGAACTAGTAATTCTATTTTTTATCTTCATGTATTCGAATTTAATTTAAACATTTAGAAGCAGCAGAGCAGATTGCTCTATTTGCTCTATTTGGAATTCTACGTACTACGTACAACTATAATGCTATATTTGATCTTTTTTTTTGTATTTTATTTTTCAATTTGATGTTTGGAATTTACTTGTTAGATTTTTTTTGTTTTTTTAATTAATTAGCCGACTGCCCATTGTGGCTTTGTGCCCCAAATTTACAAACAATACTATTGACTTTTGATTTGAGTATATGACAATTGAGTATTGACATTTGTGTAATTGGGTAATATAGGAGCAATAAGATTTCGTCTTTGTAACTGAACAGAACATGAAATCTTTTCTCTTTTGTTTTATATGGACTTATTATTATTACTGTTCGTTGTTTGTATTGCTAAGGAAAGGTTTGAATCCGATAAGGTTCATTTGGAAGGGTTGGCCGAAAGTGATATTTGGGGCGGTGACAGGGAGTCAGAGCCTCAGAGGGACAGGCGGACAGGGAGTCAGAGGGCCAGGCGCCAGTTTAATGATACAGAATCGGGATGCACTTCCCTTACCGATACCGTGGTGAATCGGTAATCGGCATACCAGTGGGAGATCGGTATCAGCGGTCGGCGGCCTTTTAGGGAGTTCCGGTAATACCGAAACCGGTAAAACAGTAAACGGTAAACCGGTTATCGTATCGTTTAGCAGCCCTACGTGGCGATACCAGAGATAACCAAGTCGGGACTATTCTAGAAGAGGTTATTCAACTGCTTGGTTTGAGTATGAGACTTAGTTTGCGATTTGTAGGTCGGAGTAGCAATAGGGTAGCTCATATTGTGTCTAGAAAAGCCCTGTCATTGTACCCGACTTCGAGTCGTTCCTTTGATTTTCAGGTCTGGCTGAACTCCATAATGTAACTATCATTGTTTTCAATCAATATATGAATATTTTTTGTCAAAAAATGTTAATTTTTTTATTTTTTATAGAGGACACCCCTTTAAAAAATTTCTAGATCCGCCACTGACTATACCTATCCAAATGGTTAGTTCGCTCATGGCTTGCTGAAATGGACCTCATTGTTCAATAGCCATTCAATTTGGCATGTGCAGATGACCTCGGCAGCCCAGGAGGTGATCTATGTATCGAAGATTTACAGCACGGAGCTAGAAATTTGAAAAAGTGTGAGCTAAAAATTTATACTTAAAAATTTTGAACCAACAACAGAGTTAAAATTTTACCAATCAATATGTTTTTCAGATTTATTATTAAATTTACATGGAATTCACCTGATTTTGAGATTTGAGGGGCTATAATTTCTCAGGTTGTCAACTTGGCTCTGCCATTGAGTGTGGTGGTTGAGCCTCCAAGTCACCGAGACATGAGACATTAGAAGGCTCCATTAGTTTGCTAAGTGCTGGAGTTAGATTGAAATTAGGAGGGATTGTAGTTTTTTTCTATTTTAAAATATATACAAAATTATATATAATTTTTGTATAAATTTAGAAATTAGAATAGACGATAATGTTTTAATACCTCCTTCAATTATTACAATTCAAATGAATCCTCGTTTAAAACTTTTTACTCCGCCACTAAAGGTGCCTCCCGTCGAGCAGGAGTGCAGGACTGCACTTTCATTCGAACCTGATCCGGCTTAATTAGCTAGCTAGGTTTGTTATGGCACAAGTGAGCGGTGCGGGTGCCAGGCCCAGCTGGTTAATTACTTGGACGACTTTGAGGCTGCTGCCCGTAGAAGTTATTCGACTTCCATGACAGTTTTGCACTACTTGGTCAAGTTGATGACCAGTGCAAGTGCTTAATTATTGTTGTTGCTAAACAAGAAATGATTATTCTTTCAAGTGGATGTAAGGAACTACTCTCTTCTTAGGGATCCTAATGAAGAAGTATGTACGTGTAGTGGCGCAGGGGCGGAGCCAGGATTTCGTGTTCGGGAGTCGAAGTTTCTTACTTTATTGCAGCAAAAGACGTTAAATTAACTAAAATAAAAATATTTGAAAACTATATTTTTAAAGATGGTTAAAGTCACTCAAAGTAAAATCTAAACTAAAATTTTTACTGGCAGGTTCTATATTGATTAGAAAAGAAAATAATTAATAATAAGTTTTAATATTGTATAATCCATTTTATTTTCAATATTAAAAAATGAAGGTCTCCTTATATCGATATTTGGAGAACAATATAATTTATTCACTATCTGCTAAAATTATCCTAAAAATTTTCAATGAAAATTTAATCGATCTAGTTTTAAATTAAAGGACTTGAAAAAAAAACAAAATATTCATGTTGATAACTTAATTAACTAATCTAATTTGAAACTAAAGGACTTAGTTTTGAATTAAAAGACTTGTAAAAACAATATATAAATTACAGTACAGAATGAATGCTCGTTAGGACAATTTTCCAGATCTACTTCTGTTGGGTTTCGAAGTCACAACTCACAACTAAAGGATAGTATAAGTACTCCCATCCGCTAGACTGGATTATTTTTCTCGCTAGACTAGATTATTGTTCTTGATAATTGGCTGCACACTACAGAACTTATAATATATTTAGTTAATACAAAAATTTCAAGAAGCTCGTCGGGTTTACACGTAACTTTCGTAATTCTTGGGTGGGGGAGGAGGGGCAAGCCAAGCTGTAGCTCCGCCCCTGCAGTGGTGGATCTAGGACTGGGCCACCCCGAGTAATGGCACAGCCCTCCTTTGAATTCAAAGCTTGTATCGTGCTGATAAATTGCTCGATTTTAGGTATCCGACCTAGTGCTATTTAGAAGTCGGTCGAGTGTGTTTTGATAATAGATTTTTGTGTAATTTGAAAAATGATCTTGATGAACATATTCAAACCACCACTATAAATTTAGTCTTGGAATTTTAGCCCCAATGGTTTTTATTTGAAAAAAAAATCTTAAAGTCTAAAATGTAAAAAGACTTAGTATAATGTTTCATTTAATTAAATAAATAACCCTATAAACTAAAGCTCACCCTTCCCTGTCAAAACTCAACAATTATCCCAATCCTCCCAAAACAAAAACAAGAATGAGGATACAAACATAACCAAAATGGATTCCTCCGCCAGTCCACCGGGAGTTGGTTTTCTTTCCAATCTTTTGATTAAGAAAATATTTACAAACTTATTGAGTCATCATTTAGATTGCTTCAGTTGAGTGGTGTAGTATATCCTAATAGTTATTTCCGATCTTTTGATGAAGAAAATATTTACAAACTTGTTCAAGAATTTAGACTAGAGGCTGGGAATACTATGAGATGCACTCTTTAAAGAGTGAGTGAGCTATTATATTATGCCGCTCAGGTGGTTCCTAATCTGGAATATGAAATTTCTTCCCTTACAAAATTACTAGAGACTCGTAGATGATTAATTCCATACTATATCTTTTTCTGGTCTGCCTAATTTATTTATTCACACTTCATACATGACATAGTTTTGTTTCTTATATTTCTTTTTCACTTTCTGATGATGTTTTGATGTTAACTTTGATTTATTTCGGACAGAGTTAATGGTGACTTGTACGTATACCCAATCAATTGAAACGGAGGAGATCGAATGTGGCAAAGGGGAAACAAACGAAACGAAAACAAAAGCAAAAATCAAATGGGGCAAAACGTAAAACGAAGCAAGAAAGCGACGGGCAACCGGCCAATCCCGTGGGCGTCGAACCAACCCAAATTGAGACCGAAAAATGTTTATATATTCCACTTTTCCCCCTTCCAACCCTTCCTAATTTGACACCGTCCCGTCTCCCCTTTCTCTCTCTCTCTTTTTCCGTCCGCCTTCCCCTGCCAGTCCAGCCGTCGCCGATGATATGATTTCGCCTCCCTACCTCAGTGCCTCAGCTAATGCCGCACTCCTTCTCCGTCCACTCATCTCTCCGCTTCCTCATTGCCTCAGTTTTCCGGTGCTCGTTTAAGCCTCCGTCACCAACTTCTCCGTCCGCCGGTGAGCATTGCCGGCGATAGCGGAAACGGTGGAAGAACAAAAAAAAGGAAAGCGAGTCAGAGGATAGAGATAAAAGTAGCCTCTAACTCCTCCTCAGCTCTCAGTTTATTACTCCTCAATTCCTTGTCTCTTTTTGGCTGCCTCTTCTCGATTCCAGCTCTCTGCCGTCGTTTGGTATCTAGTCTGTGAAGTTTACAAAGGATCTTCCACCTGTGATCGATCTACATCCGTCCAATTTCTCTGCTCTCTGCCAAGAATCGGCGATTGATTATGTAAATTTTGTGCTCGCTTAGTGAATATAAGCTGATTTTGAGCAGGATTAGCTTCGGAATTGAGCTGATTAGGGACGAGAAATTTGTCCGGGAAGCTAGAATCGTGAGTATGTTGGATCTTAATCTGAATGTGAAATCGGCCGAGTTGACTCACTACTCCGACTCGACCGATTTCATGGAGGAGGACAAGTATCAGTTCCATCGCCTGCTCCCGGAGGCATCGGGGACGTCTAGCTCGTCGGTAGTCAACGCCGACGCGTCGAGCAACGAGGACTCGTGCTCCACGCGTGCGTACAACGGCGACGCTGCGAATAACAAGAACGTCCTCAGCGGCGGCACCAACACCGTCGCCTGCCCCTTCAACTTCGACATACTGAAAGTTGGTGGCGGTGGCGGAAATGAGGATGGCGAAGACGAAGTCGTTGTCACCAAGGACTTCTTCCCGTTGAGCTGCGGGAAGCAAAACTCTCCGGTGGCGTACGGGTGTCCGGTAGGTGGGAATCCGCCGGGGAATTGGATTGATCTGACTGTCGAGAGGCAGCAGGAGATCCCCAGTGGCGGTGGTAGTGGGGGACCGGTGCGCGTAATTCCACAAGCCTCACAGCAGGTGAAAAAGAGCCGGAGGGGTCCCCGGTCTCGGAGCTCGCAGTACAGAGGAGTTACTTTTTACAGGCGGACTGGGAGATGGGAATCTCACATCTGGTACTCCTTCTCTATTCATCGTCGTTTCAACTTCTTTTGGAATCTCCTGTGGTGATTTGATCAAATTCCTATTGGCTTTTGACCTGCTTAGGTAGTGAATTCGGAATTGGATAGCTGAATTGGGGGTCAAATTTCGTTGAATCTGAATTGAATTTGTTTGGCCATGTGTCGTTGAAGCTACTGAATTGCTACCTAACCCTAAAATTTCTGGGTGAAGATAGGATGTAATAATGCGGCATCAGGGAATTTCTGTTTGGCTAATGAACTTTTACTTCCATTTTCCTTCACTTATTTCAGGGACTGCGGGAAACAGGTTTATTTGGGTAGGGATTCTACCTGCTCTGTTTGTTTCCCTGTGGTTCAAGTTTGTATTGAAGAAGAAACATCTTCAGTTCTATTTGCGGTTGATGGGATATAGTTTAATGGTGTCTATTTCAAATTTACAGGTGGATTTGACACTGCTCATGCTGCTGCAAGGTACCAATTCTAGTTATGCATAACATCGTAGTTTTTTTATTCTTGTTCAGTCTGTTGAGGTGTGCATTTTACATACCTTTCATTTCTTAACTACGTTCAGGGCCTATGATCGAGCTGCAATTAAGTTCAGGGGAGTTGATGCTGATATCAACTTTAGTCTTGCCGACTATGATGAAGACATGAATCAGGTTAGGAAGAGAAGGGTAGTAGTAGAAATTGATAATCCGATTTGGCTATAGGCTTAGAAGATTGTGTCTGATGCTGCTTTGTTTAACAGATGAAGAATCTGACCAAGGAAGAATTTGTGCACATATTGCGTCGACAAAGCACTGGTTTCTCCCGTGGGAGTTCAAAATTTCGAGGAGTGACATTGCACAAATGTGGCCGGTGGGAAGCTAGAATGGGGCAGTTCCTCGGCAAAAAGTGAGAAACTGTTCTCCGTAATTTCTCGGTGGTTTGTATGTTTTGAAATGCTAGATTATGCTTGTTGGGTGAGTGCCTCAATGTGCCCAAATGAATCTTAGAAGCATATTTGCGCAAACAAATTACTGCTCTCATCTCTGTTTTGGCTGGGAAAAATATTTCTAAAGATGCATATTTCAAAGATGAAATAATTGGGCTACGGTGTTTTCACCTGGGAGATTACAATGCTTGCGTGCAGGTATATATATCTTGGGCTGTTCGACAGTGAGGTAGAAGCTGCAAGGTCCTAATGAACATTGATTACACCCTACTCCTGATAGTTTATTTACCATAAATTCTTTCGACCTCAATGCGTCCCATCCAATGTGTGTTTCCATTTTGGTTTTCTGGAAATCAGGGCTTATGACAAGGCAGCCATCAAGTGTAATGGAAGGGAGGCTGTGACCAACTTTGAGCCCTGTACATATGACGGGGAGATGCTTTCTGAGACTAAGACTGAAGGTTAGCTGCTGTGCATTAGTGGGTTGTCTCTGTGTCTGGTGTACTTTTAATATGCTGGATGAACTCATTTCTCTATATGGTTTCCATCCAGGAACTGGCCACAACCTTGACCTTAACTTGGGAATATCCCCTCCTTTTGCCTGCGCTTCCAAGGAAAATGCAGGCCACCTGCCGTTTCACTCAGGACCTTCAGATAGTCGTGATAAGAGTTCAAAGGTAAAGCATCACACAGTAATTCCCAAACTTGGTATCTGTTTCCAGGTTAAGGTTGTTGCTGCAGCAAACCTATTGAGATAAATATTTTTTTGCATTCACTAGCCTGGTTGTTTAGATATCAGAACGCGGATCTATCAGCTATGATGTATTGGACGTGTAATGGTGTGGTTTAACTTTGTTGATACGTAGGTAGAGAACCCAACTGGTAAAATGGCTGGTGATCCACGTTTCCAAGGGTTTGTGAGGACCTCAGATCACTCAATACCCTTGAACAGTGCATATACCACTTTCTTCCCTACCGAGGTATGTTTATATTGGTGTGTTCTTATCAAGTTCCGGATCTCTTCTAGTAATAGTCCAAAGCTCTCTGTCTAGTTGTCAAACTAAGGCTTCACGGATCTTCACTAAAACCACCATGATATGTCAACTTGCTGATCCTACTTTTTTTCTGTCGTCATGTTTCCTATGCAAGCTAAACCTAATTTTCCTTTACATCCTGTACTCCACCATTTCTTGCCCTTTATGTGCTTTCAAGTCGAACTTGACTTATGGGGAGAATTTTAGAAGTGAGCCTCAATTGGGTTTCCCTACATGTGAAATTCTTAAAGTTTAGTAGCTCTCTAGGTTAATTCGTTTATTTTGGTTCTTTCTTTTCAACCAATCCAATGAATTCCCCAGACGAAACATGCTACTACCCTATTTTCTCCATACAGTAGCAGTCCATTAACAGAAAAAACAATATGTTTCTGCAAGTGGAATTGTGGGAAATGAGGTGGCAAGATATGCAACATAGCTTTTTCCAGATATTTAGCGCACTGAAGTAGGCACTGAATTTGGTTAATGCTGGTTCTGACAGGAAAGAGCCACCACGGAGAAGATGATAGAACAACACTTACAACAACAAGCTTCTTCTCATGGGTTCCCCCGCAGCTGGGCGTGGCAAATGCATGGGCAACAGGTCACAGCAGCAACTACTACTGCCCCAATGGCATTGTTCTCTACGACAACTGCAGCATCATCAGGATTCTCAACTTCAGCTACCCATCTCCACCGTCCTCCGCCTCCTTCCACCAATCCCTCGACACCTTTCCACCACAACATGGCGGCGGGAGCAGCAGCAGGCCACGGCTTTGGTTTCGTACCATCTCCCACGGCCATGGCTGCCAATGGCTCTCAGTTCTACTACTCGATGAAGCCTCCCCAGGCTCCCACCATATAAAACCAACCACACCAGACTCTTCTTCTTCTTCTTCGGCAAGCAAAGTAGAAAAGGCGAAATGTTCTGTATTAATGCGATACAGTTTTCAGACTAAGCATTTGATACGAGTATTCTTGGAGCGTTCCTACGACACTTCCAATGTCTTGGAGGCTAAACTCTTATTGCACTTGTGGCTTACCAGATCACCTCAAAAATGTGGCTTAGCTTTTGGAGTTGATAGTTGATATTTGAATGTAAAACTGAGCATATATTTGAACGGAAACCCGTCTACATTTCGTATGATTATGCACCGATTGATGATAATTTATTTGTGAATGTTGGTTACAACGGTTGACGATGAACATCCATAATATGATCGCACATATCCATCGTAATTTAGTAGGATACTAAAAAGTCAAACAGGTCTACAACTGAATCAGGTTAGCCCTAATTAAGTCACTCTCACCACAGTTCTCTCTATATATTTATTTACTTTTCAACCTTTTTTTCTTTTTTATGAAGAATAAATATATTAATTTAGTTTATAAAATGGTGTTTCATGTGTTGGGGAGTTTGGAGGGTACTAGGTTGATTCTCACTTTTGTTTCCTTTTTTAAACACTTTGTTGTGATTGGGTTTTATTAATTGTCAAATCTGGGAAAGGGACCCCGTACCCAAACAGAAGATCTCTGATTGTACAATTCCTCGGAACTGTAGCAAACAAGTGGCGACAAAAAAAAAGGTTCCTGCCTGCCTGCCACCAAATAAATAAAAGAAAGAAATGGGGGCCAGCAATAGCATTGCTTGTTTGTTTATCTTTTTTTTCTTTTTTTGCTCTGCAGTCTATCCGTTTCTGACTTTCTGGCTTCCTTCTCCCATTGGCTGGTGCCGCTTCGACCCTTCGATTGTAGCTAGGGGCGGGTCTTAGGTAATACTAACGGGACCGGTTATTCTAACGGGACCGGTTATTGTAACAACACCCATTGTGTTGTTATTGTAACAACACTAGTCCCCAACCAATAGGAAGCTAGGGATGTGATGACTTTTTATTAGTTAAGTTGACCTAGTGTAAAATCAAAACAGGGGTATAATTGTCATTATGAAAATATGTTTAAAAAATAAAAAAATAAAAAATAAAAAATAAAAATAAATTTTTTTTTTTATTTTCTGCCCAAAAAATTGGTCGCCGGAATTCTGCCACCGGTCGCCGGAAAGTGGTCGCCGGTCACCGGAATATGCTATTTTGTCGCCGGAATATGCTATTTGTCGTCGGAATATGCTTACCGGTGTCGGAATATGCTTACCGGCGTCGGAATCTAGTCATCGGGGCCGGAATATGCCTATCGGCGTCGGAATCTGCTCACTGACGGTCACCGGAGTTCGGTCAACGAACTTCGTTGACCGGGTCAACGGTCTTCGTTGACCAGGTCAACGGTCAACGAAGACCGGATGTATGGTCTACATTGTGAGATTTATGGTTTGGTTTCTCATATTTTCGTATGCCTTTTGTGGTTTGCTTTATCGTGTTTGTGGTTTGCATTAAGAAGTTTCTGGTTTGCTTTATCGTGTTTCTGGTTTGCATTGAGGAGTTTCTGGTTTGCTTTCAAAAACTTTGTGGTTTGCATTGTGAGGTTTTTGGTTTGTTTTAATATATTTGTGGTTTGCATTATGACGTTTATTGTTTGCTTTTTTGTGGTTTGATTTACTGTGTTTGTCGTTTGCATTACGAGGTTTCTGGTGTGCTTTCGCAAATGTTGTGGTTTGCTTTGTGAGGTTTGTGGTTTGTTTTAGGAGATTTGTGGTATGCATTAGAAGGTTTCTGGTTTGCATTAAGAAGTTTTTGGTGTGCTTTCGAAACTTTTGTGGTTTGCTTTGCGAGGTTTCTGGTTTGTTTTAATATATTTGTGGTCTGCATTAGGACGTTTTTGGTTTGTTTTATCGTGTTTGTGTTTTGCTTTACCGTGTTTGTGGTTTGCATTAGGGGGTTTCTGATGTGCTTTTCAAAATATTTACGATTTGTTTTGTGGGGTTTCTGATATGTTTTAGCGAATTTGTGGTTTGCATTAGGAGGTTTACGGTATGTTTTTTGTGGGTTGTTTTATTGCGTTTGTGATTTGGACTAGGGAGTTATTGGTGTTAGAAATATTTGTGATTAGAAATATTTGCTTTCCTACTGCTAGCCCCCTTTGCTTATGTACTCGAAAGGTAAAGACTATCAAAGCTGCTGCAGCAGCCATTATAGGACTGTTCCAAGTCAGGCTCTCCAGGATTGTTCCAAGTCAACTCGTTAATTTTCCAGAGAGGGATTTCATCCGAGAGGGAGATTGATTCAATATTATTCAACAAGAATTGCTATTAAATAGTAGAGTATCTGTATGAAAATTGCGTCATTTGTTTTTTAGAAAGAAACTTGCAGTCATCCATCTAATTATATATACACATATATATTGGTTTTTGTGGTCGTCAGTTTGTAAGAGCCGTGATATTAAACACATCCGACACCAACAACTCGGTTTCCCGCCAAGCCGGCGGCAGTAACCAGGAATTGGTTTGCTGCGTGGTGGCCCGCTATCACTCAGTCGGCACCCTGAAATCGTACCTGGAAAAGCACCGCCGGAAGAAGCTCCGGCTGCGGAAAGTGGTTGCGATTCCACATGCACTCTCTCCGGCTGCGGAAAGTGGTTGCTCGCCTCGGCTACAACAATACCACCACAAAGTTAATCACCTATTAACTTAATTCATCCCATACACAATTAATTATCATGGGTTCCATAGCCAACGAGAACAATGAGAGGCCGATGTCGCTGCTGATCAGCGGCTTCACCGTGACGGTGGTGAAGAATGAGCTGGTGGCGGCCGCGCTGCCGGTTCAGGAGCATTGGCTCCCGCAGTCCAACCTCGACCTGCTCGTGCTGCCGTTGGACGTCGGGGTATTCTTCTGTTACTCCACGGCGCCGGCGGGCGGCAAGGATGCCGCGGTGGCCGGGCTGAAGAACAAAGACGGGTCTGATAATTTTTATTTTTGTTCTATTATTTAATTGTCATTTTACTATATTGTCCTTGTTGTTATAATAACAACATATATATTGTTGTTATACTATCCGGAGCCCTCACTAATAGGTACTATAACAATTAGCCGTTGGTTTGAATTGAATGATGGAATTTCGACACTGAAATGTGGTATATCGAAATATAAAACGTTAACTTCTTGTTAGATAGATAGGTTACTGACTATGAAACTTTATGTCTATTGAATTGAGAGATTTTATGATTTGATCAACACGCATATATAGAACTTCAAATACGGTCCAGTGGAGTGAGACGACAATCGAAATGTACATTCCAGTACATTATCGCTCTGTTTGGCAACAAGGGGATGCAAATTTCAGGGGGTGCAAGTTGATGGGTAAATTGTTGGGGGTGCAAATTGCTGGGGGTGTAAGTGGAGGGGTAAATTGTTGTTTGGATGAAAAAGTAGGGGGTGCATATAGAGTGAAAAGTAAGTAATTCTATTATTTTAAAATAAATTTTAAAATAATAAAATATCATCATAAAATAATAAAATAAATATTACTATATAATAATAAATATACCTTACTAAAAATAGTTATTATATAATAATTCTCAAATAAAAATTACTTATAACAATTATAATAATCATTGATCGAGCGATCTCAAAACTCGAAGCTCAACTCGTAACTGGTCATCCTATATAGGGTTTTTGTGTCTAGTTTAATCTTAAATTGTCAAACTTAGTCAAACACGTTCGAATTTGTAAGTTTTAACTATTTAGTCAAATAAACTGAGTTAACCAAACAATTTCTCTCTATCTTTTCCACAAACACCTCGTCTCTCTAATTTTCAATGCAAATTCGATTCAACCAAGAGATCTAGATTTGACTTGACGAACATTGACAAACTTGTTTCCAGAGTCAAATGGTCAACCCCGAATAATGTTTACATTAATGATATTTATAAAAAGAAGAAATTGATAATATTAATTATTATATAATTATATATAACACAATTAGAAAAACAAAATTCCATAATTTCCCCCTCCCCCTCTCTTCCTTCCTTCCCTTGCACCCCAATTCGGGGGGTAAGCCGAAACAGTAAATTTGCACTCTCGTTTTGTACCCTCCTACTGTTCCAAATTAACCAAACAGGTGCAAATGTGTGTTTACCCCTCACATTTGCACCCTCCCCCCATTTACCCCTCTTCCCAAACAGAGTGTATGTAAGGGACCAAACCATTCTACAAGCCTTGATAAGTGATTTGTGATGTTGAAATTTTTCTATGGATATATGAATTAGAGTTTCAAGAAAGAGCCCTCAACCTAAAAAAAGAAAGAGAAAGGCTAAATTACACGTTTGGTCACTCAAATTACATAAATCTTTCACGTTTGCCACTCGAATTACTTTTCATTCTTATTCGCCACTAACTTTTCGAATCGTTTCACCGTTAGTCACTGGTCGTTAGTCTCCGTTAACTCTGTCACTTTTTTGATGATGTGGCAAACGAACTTCTGACTGGATTATTAATTTAATGAAAAATCAATTCTAAAGAAATAAAAAAAATAAAATTAATTAATAACCAAATCAAAAGGTTGGCAAACCTACCCAGATCCAGAATCAAATCCCTCCGCTCCGTCTTCCTATCATCTTCCCATTGGCCGCCCAACTGCCCAGCTCCGCTCTGCCCACTTCCTTCATCAGTTCCTCAATCTCAAAGAACACCATTTTCTTCTGCTCTCTCCTCTTTTAATTAAACTTCCCAACTCCCCCATCTTCTCAATTCTACCTAGCGCTAACCTTTGCAGTGAAGACTCAAGATCCTTCAAATCCTGGCTAATGATTATCCCACTCCCCGAGACGACACTGGAGACGACTCTGATCGACGATACTGAAGCAACGACGGCGATGGAAGTAGGAGTGCGATGAGGATGCTGGTGGCCTCGATCCCTGCCTCTTTTCTTCTTTATATATTAGATAGACGCGTCAGAGTCGGAGCCGCTCCCCATGGCAGCCTCACTTAACAGAGATCCTTCTGCCGACGGCGAAGGCCGCTTCCGGGCGTGGAGGCACATCGGGACGACTCCGCAAGCGGTTTCATTCGACAACACTTCTCATATCTCGTCCCCTGTTCGTTTCGTGGTAGTCACCTACATCTCAAGAATCACGTACGGCTTCAAGTAGTTGTCCCTTGAAAAAAAATTGAAATTTTGAATTAACGAAAGAATCAGAACATGATTTTTGGGCTGTAAAGAAGATTAGAACGATGGGGGTGCGATGGCTCCAGATCTTATCGATTGCTCTTGACCTAGCCAGAACTTCGAGGACTCTCGGGCCGTCACAGTAGATTACACAGCCGCCGACGGCTTGGATCCAGAGCAATTCGCCGGGACGGTCAGGCTGAAAAATTATTTTTTATTATTTAAATTTACATGTCATTAAGTTAATGGTCCAAGCAACAGTTCTGTTTGGCACGTTATCAAAAAATTGACGGAGTTAACGGAGTCTGACGGAGACTAACGGCCGGTGACTAACGGTGAAACGATTCGAAAAGTTAGTGGCGAATAAGAAAGAAAAGTAATTCGGGTGGCAAACGTGAAAAATTTATATAATTTGAGTGGCCAAACGTGTAATTTACGATTTATTCAATCACATAGTTTGGACTGATGGGAATTTGCTACCAATAAACCAGCCTTATCATTGAAAAAACTATTAGTCCAAAACTATGACGTGCTCTACACACTAGCGAGGGTTGTACTCTTTTATACGGTCTCTTATTTACGATTTTTTTAGTTTGTACCCTGAAGCCCTTTATTTATGTCCACTCCACAGTACCTAATCTCGTGTCTAGGTTACACGATCGTCAACCATAAAGATTTTCACTAGGGTGAGCATTGGGTCGGACCATCAAACACACACACATCAACCATATCACATTTTGTTTTATCTTTAAATGGGAGGTTGTTGGTTACGGAACAGGTCACTCACTTGAGTAAGTCGAGAGATGGATGATGGGTGATGACCCACAACTCTCACAAAAACTCTTCCTTAAATCTCATAATCATCACTCTAAGGTCTAACCTATTGTCAGCATAGTTTTAAACCAAAATAAAACTCTTTTCTAATTTTAAGATCTCATTCCTTTTAAATTCGATATAAATCCATTATACATACTCTTACAAGTTGTTTTTATCAACATACCAAACTTCGTCATCCAATCCAACATATAAATATGATTGGTCCGGCTCTTATCACTCATAAAATGGTGACCAGATCGTTCGGAAATCAAAATTAACAAAACTCATCCACAATTTAACTCTCTTTTTCACAACCTCCCAAACTTAACTCTTAACTTAATAATAATAATTTCTGGACCTACCCAAATTTGGGTGTTACTATCAAGTGTTAGCTGTCCATTTTTTTTCTTTTTTTTCTTGTCCCTATCATTGCTGGTGAGGGGCTGCAAATGCAATCTTCCTCTATATTTGATCGACAACAAGCAATAAAGAAATGCCAATGAATGAGAATTTGACACCCACCAGCACCAGCTTGCTTCCAAGGGTGGGCCGCGCCAAGCAAAGCAAAGCTTGTCAAATGGCTTTCAGTCTTTTTGGTGGTGGGCTCAGGTCCCCTCCACAATTTGTCTGCAACTTTGTCTTTGTACCTTATTGGTCCTTAAATAATGGTGGGCCCATAGAGCATTTAGGGACAGTTTTGATAGGCCCACCACCTCCAACAGCAGCGGACCAACCCAATTGCTCTCTTTTCACTTGGCTATAATTGGGTCAAAGGGTGAAAGAATATAGTTGCTGCTGCAAGTGACCTGTTTTAAGGATACCACAAAGTCATATGTGATGGATGGACTAATGGAGGGGCTAAAAACATCGTAAAATTGTACAGCAAGACAGGAGGGTGTATAAGAAAAGTTAGTGATAGGTTATTTTATGATGTAATTGTGGTTTAATTGTTTTATATTATTAAAATAAGAGGAATTGTTGGAGATGTTTGTAGACACAATAATTTGTAGTACGGTAATAGCCAAAATGTTCTATAGATGTTAAATTCCATGATGGTCTTATTACAATTAGAACTACTATGATATTCATCGTTGTGAAGAGCTAACTTAAATTCATATATGGACATCTCCCAAAAACTCGAGCTATTGTGCACAATCCCCAATACGATATGACAGATGTGTGCAAACTTCAAACTGATGAGTTGACTTTTATTCGGAGAGCGTATAAAAAAGTGATTAAGAATCATACAACTCAAATTGGGATCAAGCGAAAAAATGCAATAAATTTGCAGCCAATATGTCATATTTCAGTATATGTTCCCCTGGCTAGAGAGGCAATGCCATGTTCCTTTTGGATCCGTTTCCTTCCGATTAGACGGTGGGGGAGAGGTGAAAGGATTGTTCATAAAGTTCACTTTTTGTGTAGAGGCATAAATTCCTCATAACATATTCGAGACTTGTGTTATCATGGGAACGTTGGAGCTGGAGGGTCCTCTAGTCTTAGGCAAAGGGTGTCCATCTTAGCGGAAAGCCGACAAGAGGCTTCAAATTTGGGATCCTGTCACTTCAATAATTTGTCGACCAAATTCTCTGTTACTTGCTTTTTTTTTTTATGATGGAGTAGCCCTCCATAGATCTGATATTATTTGGTTGAAAGAGAGTGTTTTTTTTTTTAATCAGATCATATGATTATATTGTGTCAACTCTATATCTTACCACCTAAAACATATTTTGATATTTTTTCCCCCTTAATCGTATGTTAAAACCAGTTTTATTACTTCACATTCTTCTATCTACAGTGCCTTGACTAGATAAGGGTTAGAAAAATCCAAACAAACTTCGTATCTTGCATGTTGATAAGGATTAGTTTACAACATTATTACTATCGAAATTTAAGTTATTGGTGCAATATCTATTTGTCTATATCGGAAGAAAAAAAGTAAGTACTACTTGCAAATAATTTTTTTTTTTTTAAAACCATGCCTTTTGATTAGAGGCTTGACAAGAACACACATGTAAATAAAATACCCCACTTCCTACAAATTGCCCCAAAGAAGAGGGGTATATATTATATATGTGAAGGTGGAACAAGAACAAAGTAAAATGACTTGACCTCCCTCCCCTTTTGCCATAAATGGGGTCGATCTAGGAATCAAACATAGAATATGAAGAGAATGGAGTGTAGTTGCTACTTGCTGGCATCTTCCCATGAGCGCTTGTAAGGGCAGCCCTAACCCTATCTATGGCTACAAACTTCCTAGCTACTACATCAGCTTTTTGAATGTTTCATCAAAACAGATTGTGAAGTTGACTCTACGTATGTTGACTATGGAGTTTGATTCTGACATATAGCCTACCGACTCAACTCCAACTCAATGGCAGAGTCCACAGAACAGAAGAACAAACGGGCAGCTGGACCGGTCTTGACGAATCTCCATTGTATTTGTATGGCATGCAATGCAACCCACTGAGCAATACACCTCCCCCTCTTATTCCCTTTGGCCCAAATCAGATATGTTGGTGATAGGCACTACCAAAGTAGCCATCTCCAAAAATTGAAATATCCTCTTTATGCTGGAATTTACCTTACACTCTTAGTTCGTAATGGCCTACCATGCTTTCCATAATTAAATTTCAGGTCGTGGTGATCATCTATCTCATCTCATGTGTCTCAATTTGACAGGGATCGTTGGCAATGGGTGTGGAGCTTGTTCGTCCCAACGAAACTACACGTCTTTATATGGAGATGCGAGAGGAAGCTATCTACCACAAAAAAGTAACTTGATGACCAGGAAATGTGGGTCAAATTCGAACTGTTCGTATTGTGACTGTACAGATGAATCAATGTTCCACGGCCTCTTCTCATGTTAGCACGCATCAAATGCTTGGATCGGATTATTCTCATCTCTTCTGCTCCTATCAGCATTCTGCTCCTACCTCGATTGGTTCTGCACCTTGATGGACATTATCTCGCACTCGAATATCCTCCAAGTTGTTCCTTTTGTTGGAACATTTGGAAAGGTAGGAATGCTGTTGAGGGAGTGCAATCCCCTCGAATACAATACCTGCATTGCTGCTATATGGGAGTATCTTGAATGTTCTGACTTGCACAAATTTCACTCCATCTGTATCCCCAATTTGAGATTCACTGTGATGTATCATTTAGACATGCTTATACAAGCTTTCTAAGTATCGGCTTTTGGAATTGTTCTCATTAACAACCAAGGGCATGTTTGTGATGGACGGGCTGCTCTACTTTGTGTTCATCTCCAATTGAAGCGGAAGTAAAAGCACTCTTAGAAGGTGCTCGACTTCTACTTGTCGACTAATAACGTTCCTAATTCAGAAAATCAAATTGGAGATTTAGCTATTTGCGAACATCGACCTAAACCAGCACAGATACCACAGCCTCAAACGGCACTTCTTGCAGCGTAACACAGATATAGTCCCAAAGAATAAGTGTAAGACGATGCAGAAGTTGAAACTTGAGAGAGTAACTCGAAGTTGGAGCAATACGTTTTCCCCCTTCTCTTTCGTATCTAATACTTGCTGTTAGTAAACAATTATCGGGAAGGCAGTCAAAATAAGTACAAACGGCGAGCAGGTAGGGAAGGGAAAACAGACAGCCTGACGGAGACAAAATCAACCAAATTCATTCCTTCTTTTTACTCATCACAGGCAAAAGAAACAGAACCAAGACTCTGGAGAAAAGGAAGGACACTCGACAACTCTATACGATTAAACAACCTTTGCCCTCAACTTCTCAGGTAGTAGTAGTAGTACGCACGCACCCCTTGACGCTTCCAGGATTCCTTCAACTACAGTGACGATGTTCTCCACAAGCTTACATGACCTGCGATGGAAAGAAAAAGCACAATGAACACTGCTTAGACGATTAGCAGCTCTGCTGGAATGATTGCAAGGAGCAAAGGATAAATCTTTCCCCAAGCGAGCATTCATATCACACCTGCTGCCTTCGAGACCACGAGTCTCCAGGAGCTTTTGGTCCTTCATAAGGCTGCCCAGTTAAGACCAAACACTTTTAAAGCTGTAGAGTCCAATCCTTCAGTACAACGGACATGTAGTTGTGAAGCAGATCATCTCATCCATCTCCCCCCTCTACAACTCTCAGCCATTTGCTAGCCAAGCAAAACATCTTCATCTGTCCCCCACTACTGCATCACATCTCAAACGTCCTGTTGTACAAGTCACCAGAGCTAGGCATCCGGAATTTTGAATCTTCATACCCAGAGGAGTAGAACTTGTTGAACTGGCCCAGCCTCTCATTCCTAAGTAGCTCTGCCATACCCAAACTGTTCCCACCGCCCTGGACCTCATTCCAGCCATCCCCCCAGTGACCATTTGAAACATGTCCATTACCTCTAGGTTGTGGGACGGACAGTTGTGCAAAGGGGGAAAGGTTGTTCAGTTGAGACTGATCCACCATCCTTGAAGAGAGGCCATAAGAATCAGTGAGAGAAGAGAAGTTATCCCCAAGGTCACCATATCGTAGGTTCTGCTGTTGTTGTGGAAGAGATCTTTGCATAAGTAGTTGTTGTAGTCTGGCCTCATTCTCAAAATTGCTATACTGTTGTGGGAAGTTTGATCTCATGTCCATACCAGGGCTATTATTATTACTAAAAGCCCCTTGAAGTCTTCCTTTGCCAACAGCCAAAATTGCAGGATCTATGAATTCAATGTCAGCTGTGCTTCCCATGCTTCCACCCATTGGAGCCTGGTATGAGCTTCTAAGCAAGGAAGATGAATCGAACATATGGTTTCCTGCACAGAAAGTTTATTAAAAAAGCGAACACGCAAACTATGTCCTAATGAACAAGGCAATAGAGGCTGAAGCCTAACCTGAGATGCTGTCAAAAGTCTGCTCCACTCTCTCGTGAGAAGAGAAACCTGGTGGTGGTGCTCGGTTAGGCACTGAAAACCCAGGTGGGGCCGAAATTTGAGACCGGGAAACTGATTAGATGGAGAAGCAATTATGATTAGTTAACTTTAAAGGCAGTTCTCATCATCACATACCATTTCACATCCAAGACAAAACAGCATATGACTACGAGGCAACTTATGCAGCAACATTCGTGAATAACATTAAAAAAGAAGCATCGTGCTTTGGACTATGTAACTATTACCAGATATAGATATACAATATCGAAACCACTGACAACTACAGAAGTAGAGGCATTTCTTATTATCTTAATGGTAACAGAATAGGAACATGTACAATAGATCAACAAATCTCCACAGTAAAAACTCACCAGAAGGCTTACTGGAAGGAAAAGCTGAAGTGCCACCAAGATAGGATTCTGATTCGTCCATATTACTTGATGAGAAACCGTTACTCAGCCCATGCTTATCCAAGAATGAATTTCTATTTTCCAAGAGATCAGGATTGAAGGAATGATTCCTCGGCATCTGTCCCAGCCCAATAAAGGACGGATCAACATCAAATGCATGATTCCGTGATTCCTCCTGCCTAGCAAAAGAAAACCTAGACTGCTTGTTACTTTGACCTTTCCAGGAATTAGACATCTTCAGAGAACTAGTTTGTGTATCTGTATCACCCAACATTTTAGCCAAATTTTGAGGAGAAGTTAATGATTCATCCCATCCATCCAGATCTAGAGATAGTATATTTGAAATTATGCTACTCTCTCCAGCATCTAGAGTCGCATTACCATTACTGTCACATTGTAATCTTCCCAAGTGCTCCCCTTCACCTTGGGCAGGGCGGAAAAGATGTTGTTCTGAATGTCTACCCAACCCAGTAGAGCTATTCATCAACGTTTCAGGGTATCCATTTGGCAAAACAGAATTGCTAGGCATGTGTCTTATTGGACCATCGCCAATTCTATGATCTAAGAATAAAGGATCAGGATTTGCTTCAACAGTACCTAAAGCATCAGTATGCTGCAGAGAATGAGACCAGGAACTCTTTGCTGCCTGGAGAGAGTTCACCGAACTTGGCAAAAACAATGAACGGCTGACCAACTCTGGATCCCTCAATCTCTGGTTATCAAATGATAATACATCCTCTTCTAGCTCACATTCACTGATAGCAACTGCTTCAGTCTGTGGATCCATTCTCCAGTCTTTTTCTCCTCTTGAAACATATACCCCATTCGCAGCAGGCTCACTGGCCGGAGATGCTAAAGAATCTCCATACTGCTCAACACATTGTTGCTGACCACTAGGAAATTTGACCTCAGTGTTCTCTGGACACACACTGCTAGTCCTAGACACTGCCCCAGAATTATCATTTCTACCAATCCTTGTTGAGGAGATTTCAGGACATGAACTAAGAATTTTCTGATCTGCAATAGCAAGCCCATCTTGCTCATGACTTGAGGACTGAGGGTAGATAAGAGAACTTTTCACACTTGATACCTCAGCTCTTCCCGAGTCTTTAGTTAAGTGAATATTAGCACTGGTATTACTTAAAGATGCCTTTTCGGTCACAATCGGAGGGGAGTCACCACCGGACAGCTGTTTCAGAGGTACTAATAAATCAGGTTTGCATTTACTGTTTGTTGATTGACTATCTTCGTTCCAACTGGTCGTTTTCACTGCAAGTGATGCAGAAGGCTGAACTGTAGCTGATGAAAATCCAACAGTGCTGGTAACTGTATCAGACTTCAGCTTAGGAGGGCCATTTGAAAATGTTAGATTTAATGGCTGGTTTGAGGTGCGCATTCCCCTGCAAAAACAGCATTTCAGGATAATTAGATACAGGTCATAAACCCACTGCTAGACATCAAAGTGAATAGCATACCATGAAGCCGCAGCTGGAAGAGCACCAGATCTACTGCCGCTCCCATTAGGAGGCGAACCCTTTCCACTACTACCCATTGTACTCTGCAGGATACAACAGATAAACGTTTAAATCAGTACAAAAGGACTTGGTCATCACATCAAACTTATTCAGAAGAAATCAGACACTCGACTCTATCTTCTTTCGAATAAAAACTTGAAATCTTACATTTACTGCATTTTTCACGATGGGTCTTGCAGCAGAGGCCGAAGTGTTGTAAGAATAATCATCGGATGGAGGTGGCAACATATTCCCTGCACGTGGAACTAAATTACTGGTTGCGCCAGTAATCTGTTGCACCCTACTCCTTTAAGACCAGCATGAAGCAGTTACACATCAAATAGCAGCCCAAAAAGAAGAAGCATAGGCAAGGACTAAAAATCAATAGTTTATACTAAAGAGAGATGTAAAATAATAAATGATCTGATGGCTTGATTGCTAAAATTCACAGATGCCTTTTGTACAGTGTCATGTTCAATAAATTATGCACCCGTAACAAAGTAATAGGCAATTTGAATGAAAAATACATTTCAATATACCTTGTATACGATGAGATGATCTCATCTTTTGTAAAACTAACTTCTTGAGATCCAACCTCATGCAAGTATAGACAATCAGGATTGGTGCAGGGCTGGATTCAAAAGGAAAATTTTCATATTAAAATTGCAAACAAACTTTAGACCTTAAGGATGCAACCGCAAAAAATCAATAATAAACAAGCAGCAGCTAGAACATTTGTAGCACATACCACATTTCTCAACCAAGCATGACAGTACTTTGTGGTTCCAAAGCATGCCCTGGAAAATATGAACAGTATTAGCATGCATACCTACCACACAGATAAATTCAAATAAAAATATGATTCGTATTAAACATGCCCATACTTCAATGGTCTACCATCCAAAATGTATCCATGTACAGATTGAATACAACGAATAGCTTCGTCCTCCTTTCCGTAAGTAATATATCTACATACAATGACAATTAAGTAATTTTGTCAGATAATTAAAAACAACATGAAATCCAAAACAGTGTCAGGAGAAACGAGTCACCGAACAGAATCTATGAGGTAACACTGAATATAAACTTTTCTTGCGTAGAAGTTGCTGTTCTCAAGTATACACATAAGAAAGCACAGAATTACATAAATTGATGATTTACAGGTTCTTTCTGAAATCCCCATTTGGTTATCCATTGAAAAAGTAGAACACCCTGTTAAGTTAAACTATACCATACTGCAGAAAGAACACTTGAACTTACACACTACAAGTATTATTAGGAAACTGCTGAATGACTCCCGCTGCTGTTCGTGACATGGATACCTTCAATACTTTCCCATACTGACCAAAATATTCTCTTCGCTGGAGTAGCTGCTCAAAAGATGTCAAAAAGTTAGACCCCGCTCTTTCTATGATGTAGATAAAGGATGGATTGTGAAGGAAGTGGAAGCTGGAAACTCATTGAGCAACACAGAAAAAGACATTACATCCTCATCGGCAAAGTTGAGAGGTAGCCCAACTATATACACCAGGTTCCGTTGGATCACCCTCACACTGCTGAGCTGTTTCCTCCCCTCGGATGGTTTCGTCTTTGACTTATGTGACTTCTTCCGCTCTTGGAATTCAGCAACCAATCTATTATGTAAATTTCAAGTCAGCAACAAACATACAACAATAGCCACTGGAAAAACACACAGATGATATATCTAAACACCTCTCATTTGGTCCGGTCCCTACTATCTTCTCCTTGTCATATGGGGTGCGGCATGCAGGACACCGGCCCTCTGAGTCATCCTTCTCAGCCATGTCCATTATGTGATGCCAACACCAAACACATATCTACAGCAAAGAGAACCAATGCAATAATAAATTACCAATTGGTGGATGGAAAAGAATAACAGGCAACCAGATGAATACAATGTACAATCACGGATTGATTGGCACTTCAAAGGATAGCACATTAACTTCCCCCATCAACACATCCAAAACAAGAAATTATGAAAAACAGGAAGCTACATTTTCGATTTCACCCTCCAACAACCACCAGTGAGAACTAACAAGCTAATAATAAAAAAAAATTCACCTCATAAAGATCACTACTACTGTCTGCATAAAAAAATGTTGCTGCTTTCAGACGGAATACTGAAGCATGATTTCAAAAAGACAACCAATGACAGCAAAATAATCAAATTCTTACGACTAACAATCCACAACAGAGAATTCATTGCATTCCAAGTGTGCTTCTACAAGTTCACTAATACAGACTAGAACAGAGTGGCAGATCAACTTATTATGACATGCATCAACAAAGATATCGTCCAGGAATTCAAGGGCCAGAAGTCAAACCTCATAGCCACATTTGCAAGGCTTCAATTGCTGATCAGTCAGATCCATCTCCTCAGCGCAAAGTGGGCAGGTCTTCTCTCCCTCGTCACTCATGGTTGCCTAGATCACAAAGAAAAAGCTCTAAGTGAGAAAAACTGCCACAACAGTTAAGTAATCTACTCTAAATATCCCCTATACATGAGTAAGATCCACTGCAGTCTCTGAATTCCGGTATTTTCCTCTTCTTTGGGTTGCCATTCGACAGTGAAACCCAACCAGCTCTCAATTTAGGCACTTCACGGATACTACATTCATCTTCCTAAATTCACACTATGTACAAGTCTCACTCACACAGAAGACACCCACAACGACAAAACCCTAGAGAAATCCCCCTCCAATCTAATCACATCCGTAACTCGTGATTCTCGATACAGATCATGACAATCAAACCCTAGCAACTCAACACACACCCCGTAAACACACACAAAAGAATGAGAAATCCAGAGTCCTGAACACACCAACCAATGACCGCCCCAGCTAAATCGTAGATCACGACAAAGAATTTTGGCCAAACAGACACCACCGGCACACGGAGATAATAAATAAAAATTCCCAGATAGGGCACGCAATCAGAATTCCACCCAGATTACTACACACCCTAAGTAGAGAGAGACGAAAAAACAAAAACAGAGAATCCTAATCTTGAATCAGTCGCATGCAGAACGGGAAATCTCGACCCGACAAGTCAAACAACACAGCGAGCCGGGAGAACCAAAAAGAAGCGTAGCTTCGCTCACCGGAGAAGAGAAATCAGGGGGATCCTCGTCGTCGGTCGATCGGGGGGAGCGAGGATTGCGGGGAAATTAGGGCTTAGTAACGAGACGGTGGAGGGGAGAGAGAAGACTTACCAGTTGGTGGATCGAAGAGCGAATCTGCGACGATGAGATTGGGGGGGAGAAACGAAACGCGGAAAGACAAGAGAGAGAAGGATAGATAGGGCCGGGCGAGGGTGAGAGAGACAGGAAGGAGCAAACGAACAAACAAACAAAACGATGGGAGGGAAGGAAAGAAAGCCACAGGAAGGAATTGGGGCCTTTTTATAAAAGGGAAGAAGAAGAGGAAGTAGAAGCAGAAGCAGAAGTGGAGATTTGATTAGAGAAGAAGGGGAAGGTGGCCGCTGAAGAGGAAGAAAGGAGTTAATAGGGGCTAACCGGAACGGGAAGTTAGGCCGAAGGATGGCTCGATGGTTCCGGGGAGTGGGTGTGGGTGTGGTCGGCTGGCTGGCTGGCTGGGTGCGGGTGCGGGTGCGGGTGCGTGTAAGTGACAGTAAAGGAAAAATACTAAAAAAAACCTCTCTTTTTTTTTCCCCTTTTCCTCAATTTTTCCCCTTTTCTTTTTTTTTTTTAGAAAATGGGACGCTTACGGGCGCCCCTGCCTAAAACTTAAATTAAATGGTCTTGGGCAATGCCCATCGTATCATACAAAATCCAGAAATTAAGCCTTGGTACTCATGAGTTTGATATTTTTCCCCCTTTTCCTTTGCGCTTCCGAGTTGCGTCATTAAATATAATCCGATCCCACTTTCAGCCCCTTCATTTCGCTTTATTTTACAGAGATTAGCCCACCTCTTCGTTTTTTTTTTTTTTGACAAAAACCTTCTCCTCTTCGTTTTGCTGATTCAAAATGGATGGGAATTCGTAGATTTTCCTCAATTTGGGTTGTTTGTTTTATGGATTTAAAAATCAGTGTTTTGTAATTTAAAAATCCAGTAATTTTTCAACGATTTGAGGTATTATGAATTTGTAATAATTCTTTGTTTGTTGAGATGTTTTATCATGGATTTAAGGGTTGGGATTTATAACCTAAAGTCCAAAATTACCATAATATCCTTTTCTATTTGTTTGCGATGTTTATGATATGTACATAAAACAATGACAATACTACTAATAGACATAATATTGCCACAAGGACAATTATAATAAATGGAAAATTTTCGTTTAACTTTTAACGTAACATATATCGGTTACCAATTCTTTGTCTTTCTTTTCAAAAGTAATATATAGCAACATATATTAGAATTGGGGAGCAAAGATTTATACGCTCTATGAAAAGGTCAAAGAAAACTAGAACACAAGAAATGGTATAAAAAATATAACTCGTATTTGCACATTAATTGAATATTTATATTATTTCTTTGTTGTTAATTAATTGATTATTAATAATGTACATAGGCAAATGTGAGGGCAACCTTGGAATTTTAAAAATTCATGAGGGTATAAGTAAAATCTTATCATGGATTTATGGCATGTTACAAATCCCACATCAATATGTGGGATTTACAAGTCTATGCGGTCCATGGATTTGGACCCTTAAAATCCATGGACCGCACAAATTTGGTCCATAAAAGAAATGCAAGCCAATGATGAATTTTCCTCAAATCCATGATGGAATGGATTTGGGTACCAAATCCATCATCAAAATACACGAAGCAAACGACCTCTTATTGGTTAAAATATTGAACTAGTAGGCAAAGTAGTTCGTTTGATTTTATATTAAACCGTTAAAAACATTTGATTTAACTCTGGCTGTCAATGAATGGACCAAAACAATATTGTAACTGGTTTGGTGGTTTTACTAGTTAGACGTTGATCTGTTCGGTTTCTTATAACAATGGATTTTCCACATCTTAATTTATAACATTTTCAGATGTTGTATGGTGCTAATCATTTCAATGTCGATTAACCACTAACCAAAAGGTGCATACATAAAACCAAACCGATAAGCCTTATCGATTCGATTAACGATTAGTATGGTAGTTAATTAATAACCAATATTAACCTCCATATGTGGCGCATTTTATTTGGTAATTTTATTATTATGGTGTCCTTTTTAATAATAAAATCATCATAAAATATAATCATTAATAATTTTAATATTCACTCCTAGATTGTTAACATGAAATAATAATTATAAGAAATAACATTCATTAGGAACTAATAATCCAAATTAAAATTCAAATACATACAATTAAAATAATCATTTGACTTCGTCCAATTAGTGAGTACCAATTTGAAGCTACATTATCGGTTTTATTGCGGTTAAGCACCAGTCAATTTGAAGTGGCATTATCGGTTAACCCAAAACCAAAATCAAACCACTATTAACCAACGTTATCGATCCGATTATTCATTAAAACCAAGGTTGTCAATTCGTTCTAGCCCGTTGGACCGATCGAACAGGTGGGTTGAGGATCAATGGTTCGACCGCTTTAGCCTAGATATATGAAAAGTGTTATTATATTGCTCATACATTTATAAAGTATATAAAGTCTCATGGGTACACCTACGTTGACATGCAAGGCACCTTGACTTGCACAATTCAATGACCTATGTGCTCATCTGGTCGACCGGTTACACCATCGTAGTCATTCTGATAGAAACTATAGTCGACCATTAACATATATAAGCAACCGTTTTAAAGCAATCATTACCAATATAGTCAACCACAATAAATAAAAATTGGTCGACCGATTTGAGGCAGTCATAAAATAAATAGTCGACTACGATAGGAAACAGGCAGACTTTTCAATAGGAAAGAGGCAAAGTATCCTGTACGGGCGGAAACTTTTGGTACGAGGCCTTTGCTGGTAGATTGGAAATGGTAAGACGGTGTCTGCGTTACAGGACAGCTGGATTCCTGCTTTGCATCCTGACCCTCCACTTTATAATCCGCAAGTCCTTCTAAGGGGGTGACCTGAAGGTGGCTGATTTGTTGTGCCCGGTTGAGGGTCGCTGGTCTAGTGAGAAACTTACCCAGTGGTTCCATCCTGCTACTTGCCATGCTACTGCGGCTATTCCTCTTCTCCGCTTGGATATAGAGGATAAGCAAGTCTGGCACGCTACGGGTGATGGGATTTTCACAGTCAAATCAGTGTATCACCTAGCTGTGTTAGTGGATAAACAGCATGGCAGATGGAGTCCCACTGTTAGCTGGATGGATCGTCAAAGTTGGATCCGATTGTGGGGTTGTCCTATTCCACCTAAGCTAAAAATCTTTTTGTGGCAAATCTTGCACTGTTTCCTCCCAACAATAGAAGCCCTTATTGAGAAAGATGTTCTGGTGCATCCTAGGTGTCCAGTTTGTTGGGAAGAGAGTGAAACCATGGAACATCTTTTTCTCGTGTGCCCTGTGGCAAGAGCTTTGTGGGATCATTCTGGATTGGATCATATTGGCCAAAGCCTCACTCGCCATACGTTTCCACTCTTTCTTAAGAAACTGTTGTCCATCATTCAGCATCCGCATCAAGGTCATGGCACTTGTGGTTGTGATGTGGAGGCTTTGAAAATCTCGGAATTGGGTTGTCTTTGAAGGCAAGCATTTTGGGATCCCAGCTCTAATGAGACAGTACCATCATCAACTGGGAGAGTGGTTAAATTTGTCTAAGGACAGGGTGATGTGCAGTCCTGGGACAGATTCTAGGAGTGTGCAGCGTGTAGGGATGGCAACGGTTGGGTATGGGGTTGGATAATGGCTCCCCGATCCCCGCCCGCACCTATAAGCGGGTTTTACCCGTCCCCGTCCGAAATGTGTTATGGATACCAAATTAATATCCATCCCCGTACCCATCCGGGTTTGGATATTCCCCGGCTGATCGGGTTTTACCCGCCACAACCCAACCTCCTACCGACAGAAGGGAATCCAATCACTTCAAACCTTAAAAAAATGCAAGGCTAGAATAAATATAACTCAAAGCAAAATGACCGAATTCCATTGACGACAATCTGGCATTGTTCAAACTACAAACCAACAAACCACAAATTCAGAAACGATACATAATCTTCAAATCCAAGCAACATCCATGACTCCATAAACTTAAAACTCAAATTCTCAAATGTCTACTCTCAAAAATCAACACAAAGTACCACAAAATAAAAGTAGCAACACATCAGCACCACCATAACAATAGCAACAGCAACATGAATGCAGCACCAGCAGCCAGCAGCTTCAACAACAACATGAATGCAACACCAACAGCCAGCAAGCTGCAAACCAGCAACATCACAGCAGTGGAGTAGCGCTACACCAACATAGTATAGCAACAGCACACCAATATCACAACACCAGCAATCCTAGTTGTCAAGCAATCCATCGAGATACATATGCCTCCCATTTGTATCTTATGCACAAGATTAAGAACAAAATTAGATTCTTAATGAATTTAAACAAAAGCAAGCAACAAATAGTAGTAACATATAAGATCAGTACCTTCCAAATCATTTTCAGTCTCATCTGCACCCAGATTTAGCATTGTGAAACACCCTTCCAAAGCAGTAACAGTATCAACATTATCTGAAACACAAATGAAGAAGGAATTAGTAAGTTGTAGCCAACTCATTGCATCTGAAACCAATTTTACAGTTTTGAATGAGCTCTTTTACCTTTGTTCGCCTCAACTTGCAGCCAACTCCTTGCACACATCATTGTTTCAACAGTAGTAGGCAGTAATCTACTACGGTGAGGGTCTAAAAGACGCCCACCAGAATTGAAGGCACTTTCAGATGCTACTGAAGTTACAGGAACAACAAGAATGTCTCTTGCAATTTCTTGCAACACAGGGTATTTTATGTCATTTTGTCTCCACCAGGTAAGTATATCAAAATCAACAGAAAGAGGAATGACATCCTCACCCAAGTACCTATCCAATTCAGTTTGGTATGCAACTATCGTGGATTTTTTTCTTTGACTCACATACAATTCAAAATCCAAGTCAATTCCATATTAAGGAACTTATGCATTAGCATTTCCAGCAGCAGGAGAATCCATCTCCCTCCTTGTTTGTACTCACGAAGCAAGTCAACCAAGATATCCTTAATCTTGTCACAATCCAATGAACTTATAGTATCACTATTACCAAACTTAGCAGCATAATAAGCAACGATCTCCAACTTGTACCTTGGATCAAGTACAATTGCAACAGCCAAGAGTTCATGGATATCTTCCCAATACTTCTTAAAGTTCGACCACATAGAAGCAGCCATTTCTTGGATCACAAAATCAGGATCAAGCATCCACTCATTCAATTTCAACTTCAAGTTACAAACTCGAGTGAAGAAAAGATTGGCAGTAGGATATTGTGTTCCAGACAACAGTTCAGAAATAACACTGAATATTTCCAGCTTTGAACACACAATAGATGCAAACTGCCAATCAATAGGAGTAGGCAAGCAAGTATATTGAGAATCCCTTTGCTTAAGACGAGAGAATACATCCTTATAAGGCAAAGCAGTAGAAAGCATGTGATATGTTGAATTCCATCTAGTTGGACAGTCAAGCACCAGTTGCTTATCACAAAAAAAAATTGCCTAGCAGTTTCTTCAAAGAACTCTTTTCTCTTTGGGGTTGCAGACCAATACACAACAGATTCTCTAATCCTTTATATCCCATCTTTCAAAATTGACAAGCCATCTTTGACAATTAAGTTCAAAATATGAGCGGAGCATCTCATATGCAACATTGAACCATCCAATATCAAGTACGGAAGCATAAGTTTTTGCTTAATTTTGTCAATCATCGAGTTATTGGTACTGCAGTTATCAAGAGTAATAGTCGATACCTTTGAATCAACATTCCAATCCATCATATAGTCAGCCATGATTATGGCTAACCTCTCACTTGTATGTGATGCAGCGACATACATGAACCTACAAAACAGGACAACAACATAACACATTAGAACTATATAAGAAAGGTGATTCCAGATTGAAGAATTTTAGAAAACAAACTGCTCAAAACTTTACCTTAACATATGGCTTCTCAAGTTCCATGAATTG